CCCCAACCCCCCCCCCCCTCCCTCCCCCGCCATCAATTCCCGCTTATTTACTCGCACTCACGCATGCGTAGTTAACTCCATGTAGGCTGGATTTTTAACGCGGGCATCTTTCCGTTTATCTGCTGGTGTATTTGTCCGTTTGCCTATCTGTTTATCTGCCTATCTACTCTTTTTGTCATATGTCTTTACATTTCATACGTATGACTGCCCCCAATCTCCCACATCCCAAGTTTGTTTTTTTGACGTTTGTTTGTTTGTTCGTGTCCTTGATGGTTTTGGCGAACGTGTGTATGTCCTTCACGGGGGTTGTACGTGCAATTACGTCCTACAATCCTTCGCTCGGCAGCTGATGGGTTTGTTTTCGCGTGCGCAGACCTTCGTCTCCACGCAGCAATTGGAGTCAGTGCATTGGGTCTCGGACACGCGCTTCGTCTTTTCCCACAACGACGGCTCCTACGCATTCGCCAGTCCTGGAAACGAGGAGCCACCAACGCCAACGACGCCTTACGGACCCTTCCCCTGCAAGGCCATCACCAAAATCGTCGTACATCCCACGGACGAGTGAGATTCATTGGCCTTTTGTTAACTGTCTTATTTTATTTGCGCTTTTTACTTATCTTTTTGGCAATTGATTTATTCAGAGTTCATCGTTCGCTTTGTTTCGCCGAAATGTAAAAACGTGCGCCGACTCGCTGATATTACTGCGCGACTTGCTGTACGAACGTCGTGCAACGATTTACGGCTTCGATAAGAAAGTACACTACCATTCGAGAAGAATAGATAAAATATACTAAAATACGCATTTTACCATTAAGCATTTTGATATGTGATTATGTTTTATATTGGCCGTCCATCGGTGTAATAGATCGCAGTATATTAAACAAAAATACAAAATTTTAAATCGTAACGATTTCTAAATTAAAATATTTTTATCGAGAAAGCATAAAGCATTGTATTTTATATTATAAATGTAATATAGCTGTTATTAAGTTATTATTGTCGAATGATAATAATAATAATAATAATAATAATAATAATAATAATAATAACAACAACAACAATAATAACAATAATAATAATATGACTCACACTTTTAATATACAAAATTCTAAAATTACAAGATTAATTGCTAAAAAAACTTATATATATATATATATACACACGCACGCACGCACACACCGATATTTATTATAACAAAAAAAATTGTTTTTTATCTGAAAATTTTAGCGAAGATGAGTTGATTCTCTTCTCTGGAGGTATGCAGCGCTCGGTTCATAGTGATCGCCATACCATAACTGTGAAGCGAGAAGGAAACAACAAGAAGCACGTTGTTTTTGACTTCACCTCCAAAGTCATCGACTTCTTTACAATTCTGCCGAAGAAAAGGCAGCCGACCGACGAGGAGGAGGAGAAGGACGAGAAGGCAAAGACGACCGAGTCGCCAGAGGCTCTAATTGTCCTCGCTGAGGAGGAGCTCATAGCCATAGATCTGACGGATCCGGATTGGAAGATGATGGCCTTACCATACCTCGTGTCGCTTCACGCAAGCGCTGTGAGTGATCATTTACACAATGTTGTCCGCCCTTTTTGAAAAACATCCTAAACAGCATCACGGGTTCCTCACAGGTGACATGCTCGCAACACGTGCCGAACGTGCCAGAGGAGCTGTGGGAAGCGATAGAGTCCGCGGGTAAGGCCCAAACGGAGCACCTCTATTCTGAAAAGACTTGGCCTATCGACGGGGGTGTATTGCTGAATGAAAGGCCCGTTGCCGAGGTGGAGAAGCCAAAGGTGCGCGAGTTGCTGCTCACCGGTCACGAGGACGGCACTGTGCGCTTCTGGAACGCCTCGGATGTCGCCCTTACGCCTCTTTACAAGTATAACTCGTCAATATTATTCACCGGCGAGCATCTCGACGTACTCGAGCAGCCACCCGAGGACGAGGAAGACGAATGGCCACCGTTCCGAAAGGTTATTCTTCTTTCTAAAGCGCTTTGCGTTGGTATTTTTGTGCCGTTGTAAAAATACAGACAACGTGCCAACTCAGTACCGAATTATTTAAATATACTAATGATTCTCTTGGAAATATCTGGAAAGTCTGCTCAAGCTACGTTTAAACGTAGCCAATAGTTATACTGTATAAATGTCATTGCTGGTAAAAAGCTCAGAATTAAACGCAGCAATTTTAATACGGCAGGTCGGCACCTTCGATCCCTACTCCGACGATCCTCGACTCGCGGTGAAGAAAGTGCTGCTTTGCCCGCTGTCGTCCAGCCTTGTGATCGCAGGTACAGCCGGTCACATAATTACTGCCAATATCTCGAGCGAGGCAACGAATAAGGAGATCAAGGCCGTGAAAATGAATGTGGTGAACGACCGGGATGGTTTCGTCTGGAAGGGCCATGACCATCTGCCCGCTCGCACTGCCAGTATCTCTTTCGCGGTCGGCTTTCAACCCCATTGCCTTTTGCAGTTGTATCCACCCGCTGCGGTAACCGCTCTCGCGATGCACAGCGAGTGGGGATTATTGGCTGCGGGTACGGCGCACGGCCTCGCTGTCTTCGACTACGTCAGAGTAAAAGCCGTAAGCGTGAAATGCACTCTCAATCCAAATGGTAAGTTTCCCTAGTAATTAATGGTTTAGGAATAATACGTAGGAAGGAAGCTCATAAGCTACTTTATTTTTATTCCATTCTTAGATCTCTCTGGTGCTGGTGACACGCCTATCTCCAGAAGAAAATCGTTCAAAAAGTCCTTGAGAGAGTCGTTCAGAAGATTAAGAAAAGGAAGATCTCAGCGAAGGGCAACGACAGCCGGCAGTCCACCTCGTACCGCAGTCCCAGAAACAAAAAAGAAGGAAATGTAAATTTTGTCATTATTTTGATCGTCAATGTGGTTATCGCTATTACTTTCTTCACTAAAAAGTTTCTTTATTCATTAACTTGCAGTCCAAGTTTGGCATCGTCTCCAAGCGGCGACGCGGCCGTAGATGTAAAGCCTGTTGAGCGACAGGTCGAAGCTAGACCTGTTGACGATGCATTAGGCTCGATGGTTAGATGTCTATATTTTGCTAGAAGTTATATTATTAGTAGTAAGTATGAGTTATATATATATATTGCGCTAAAAACCTAGTGAGCCCACGTGATCCTCCAATTACTTATTGTGTTTGTTAAATCACTAAAACGCTATTAAATAATCGTGTGCTCTCGAGCAGTGCAAAACACAACGCCGACACTATGGGCTGGCACAAACAACGGAACAGTCTACGTATTCACTTTGGCGATTCCGGCGGGTGTTCGTCGCACCGAGGAGGACGTGAACTGCACTCTTGGCAAGGAGATACAGCTGAAACACCGGGCCCCGGTAATTGCCATCACCGTTCTAGATGGTTCGAGCGTACCTCTTCCCGAGCCCTTCGAGGCCGAGCGCGGCCTGTGCCCGGGACCCGACATGGCTTCCGCCCACCGCGTCCTCATTGCCAGCGAGGAGCAATTCAAGATCTTCAATTTGCCCTCGCTCAAGCCCTTCTGCAAGTACAAGCTCACGGCCCACGAGGGCTCACGGGTCCGAAAGACGGGCTTCGCCAAATTCACTTGCCCCGTCGAGCCGTCGGGTCAACACGAGGAGACTTGCCTCGTCTGCCTCACCAACCTCGGCGAGTGCCTCGTGCTCGGTATACCCGAGCTCAGGAGACAACTAAACGCCGCGACGATCAAGAGGGAAGACATCAAGTACGTTACGTCCGCTCTAGATCCTGGAAGAGTTCGTGCGCGGTAGACCATATCGATCTTATTCTCTATCCCTCTATCCATTATAGCAGTATAATATAATTTCATTTGACCTGTAAAATTTGTAATTTTATGATACAAAAATCTTACACAGATATGAAAATTTTTAATAAATGTGCTCTACGCGTAGACGCATTTCTGTTTTAAGTTCCGATGGATATTGATTAAGCTGAAAATGTTAAATAATTTCAAATTCATGAACGTATTTTGTTAACAAGTTGGTGGTACATCGACTGTGCACTGTCGACGAAATCGTACGATTTTTGCAAAAGTTGAAGGTAGAGGCTTAATTATTATCGGCAAAACATTGCAGTGCAAGGAAATCTCGATTTTTCTAGAATAGCCAAACAAATTACGCGTTACGAATTGAGTGGAGAAATTTAGCGATAAACCAATTGACTCGCGTCCGATTTCTCCGCAAGGAATAATTCGAGTTTCCTCCGCTGTAATCGAAAAAATCCTAATCTCCGTTTGCTTCACAGTGGCATATCTTCGCTGACGTTCACGAAAGCCGGCGAGGCCTTGTACCTGCACTCGTCATCCGAGGTGCAACGCATATCCCTGTCGGCGTGCAAGGTGACAAAGGCGCACTGCGCCCTTAATTTGCCGCCGAATGCGCGCACCGTACCCGAGGCAACCGCACCCGAGAAGTCCACGAGTGCGCAGGAAGAGGGCAAGACGGAAAAGGAAGCTTCGGATGATGTCGTTGATACGGAAAAAGAGAGCAGTCAGCAGCAGTTACCCAAGATTGTCATCGAGAATGGCGTCGTAGGATCCAGTGAGTTGGACAGATCGACACACTATAAGAATTTTATTTTTAAAGTTGTCTTGCTTTTATTATGTTTGTCCGTAATGTGTTGCGCGTCACTTTTTTTTCCATGTCTGCTTACTACAAGTGCCAAACATTATATCTCCCGAGTTATTATTGCTGTGAAGATAATTTTCTCTGAAATCTTTATAAAAGCCATGAATTTTCGAAATGGCGGGATTTTTTAATATTATGATATACTTATAATGGAAAGGAAATCGTATAAAGCAGTGGATAGTAAAGAATAGTTTGAAATTTGATGACGAACTTTTGTTAGATTGATTCGGATAAAAATGAAATATCATACAGAAAAATCATACAGAATAAATAATACAATGCGCAGTGTTGTTAATATAATAATAACAATAAGAATAGTGTCAGTTGTTACTATTTCTAATTGAAGTAATAATTATATCTGGTTTGCTACTTGCATTTTAAAAACAATCGTATTGATAATTTCTTTAATTCCATATAATTTTTACAAAAAAATTTTATCTAGAGAAGAATACAAGTCCCTACGTATAGTAGCAATTGCGATGATTTGGTGCGTTGCTGCAACTATTTATTTTGACAATTATACACTAGGCGTTATCATTGTAAATACTATATAAATCATTTATTTATTACATAATATAAGATAGTGTAATAATTTTACTAGCGGTCCTTTTTTTTTTCATATAATTTCTTTGAGCAGTTATTTCGAGATACATGCATTTATGTAATTTCATTAACAATTATTAAGCTGCCTCGTAAAACACCCATTGATTTATCTTTTAATAAGCATTTATAGATAAAATTATCGATTACCGCGGGGAAGTAGTTCAAAGCTTATTGCGAAGGCAATGAAATATGTCGACGATGTGAGAAGATTAAGAATTCTGGCCTACCTTCCATCGTCGTTACATCCTCGTCGCATCGACGCAATATTCGGGGTGCGCATATGCTACAATAAATCACAATTTCAACCGCTTTTACGCATTGCCACATTATCGCACCTCCTTGTCATTGTTCGTTTTATTGTTAATCACTTAAGGCGTTAGCTTCACTTAGCCTTGCTTAGCCACGTTCTACCGCCGACGAGTAATTGCAGACAGAGTGGCAAGCACCGCCGCGCTCCATGAAATAAGCATTCCGAGGACAAACAAAACATAAGCAGCGACCGCTCGGTGCACTTTAACCTTTGTACATCGCTTGGCTTATCGCGTGTATTTTAGCAAACGGCGAGGAGTCGCCCAAGGAGCCCTCGCTCAAGCCTGCCGCGAGTACGACGGACGTCAACGGCGACGACGACCGCCAGGATCTGAATTCGATCGGCGACATCACCATCGACAGCGTCAAGGATCATCTGCTGTAAGTTGAGAGGCTCTCTTAAATGAGTTCTTTATTGCGATTAAAGAGACAGTTCGCCCCATTTTTTTTCTCTCTCTCGGCTAACGCTATTGTGTCTGTGGTACGACTTGAATGAATCGGTCACGCGCACGATTTTTTAAAAGTGTTTTTTTGTTGAACTAACTTAACGGCAATCTTAATAAATATTATTATTATCATCAAGAAGCTGCCGTGTATAGAAGACTAATGTATTCGAATGTAAGCAGTCGAAGATTAGTATGAAAAATTAAATCCTTGTGACATTTGCTTCGCAAAGGCAAATCGCAAGCGATTTCAAGGTTTTCAAATATTATTGCTATTTCGCAGATATTCATACAATTGATTTTTTTAAGATGACTGATTTGAAGATGAAGATAAAATTAAAAAAAAAAAAAAAAAAAAAAAAAAAAAAAACATTAATTTTTTAAAAACAAAGACAAAAAAACTTGTCTAACCCTCTTTTGTGATCGAACACAAAAGGATTGGATATAATTTAATGTATTCTTAAAGCGAATTATCTTCATATATAGTTTTATAGTATTCACATTATTATTATTTGAAATAAAAAATTAATTCAGATTTTATTACATTCATACGGTCGCTGTACAAAACAAGATTACCCCTTTAATTTGGTGAATCCAAGGCCATTTGAAAGATAATTATTTACATCTCTCATATAGTATCTCTTATAGATTATTACAATTCAAACGTATTAAAATCATGTCATTAAATTTATTTATGTAATGTATTATAATTATTCGATTAAATTCGCAAAACCTTGATTTCTGGTTAATATAAATACATAACATTGTCTTCATCGTAGTTACCTTACGTACAAATCAAATAAACCCTTCCGCATTTCCAGTCACCCATCGAATTATACCCTTCGAATTGACAAAAATTAAGTTATCGATTCAAAATCAATAAACAAACAAAAACAAAACAAAAAAACAATAACAACAATGTAGCTCTCGAGTGCTCGTGACAATAGCGGCAATAGCAACAATAGTGATGAAAATTTCAGGAACAATTGGCTAATAAGCTTTTTCTTTTGTTTTCTCATGTTCTCGTGTACTGGCCATGCTACTGGCAGTAACAGTTCACTTTTCAGAAATGCCACGTCGTCCGAGGACCTCCACAACCGCCTGGCGGGTTTAAAAATGGAGGTGACTTCGCGCACCTCGGAAATCTCCACTCAGAATCAGTCGGTTGTCGTGAAGACAACGACGGTGATATCGCAGCAGGCGTCGACTAATGGTATCACCACCAACGGCGATGTCGAGACGCAAAATTTGCAGCAAAACGCATCCGAAAATGTCAACAGTGAGTTCACGACCGAGCGCGGAGGATTTACTAGTCACTAATATTTTTGCTCGAATTCTGTGGCAATGCGATAGAATTTAATATACATGATGTACACTTGCATTACAAATGATCTACACGATCTTTACGCGATCTAGTACAAAAGCATATTATTCTCATTGTGTTACTAACATTTCAATTAAGATCTTGTATAATTCGTGTTGGCATAGTCTTTACATTTTATAAATAGTAAAATATTGAAATGCCGACTAATTAGAGAGCTTATTAAACTATACAAATTGAATACGATCTAATGTTAATTTAAAAATATTTACAATGTTGGTTGAATACTATTTTAGATTATTTACGTTATTCTTGTATTTGTTTATTCCTGCAATTTTATCTCGTCAATTGGGAAGTGAATTTAAATTATAAAATTTTCTCTTAATCTTATTCTTTAATATGGAAGAAGATAATGATGTTGATGATTAAGAACCAGTTTACACTTTGTCCAGCGTTTCAAATAAACAATTTTAACGGTTATTTTATACCTTAAAAGGCTTATTGATACTTTTAACACTGCGAAATATTATTTGTATAACAAAAACTTTTCAATATAGCGAGTATTACGACTGCTGTCCCAATGCTACTATTATAGGTGTCAAGTATCCCGGTTTTGCCATCTGCTTTATTGTTTTATTATCAAAATACACGATATATGATACAAATATTTTATATTTTATAGATAAAGCTTAAGATAGAATATATTTTTGTGCAAGCTAATATTTTGCCAGAATCATTATCATCATTATTTAATAGAATTAAAATGTCATTGAGTGAATATTTTTATTCGTATAAAGACACATAAAATTTTATATTATTGTTCATATTGTTTTTCAATTTTTTAGCATGGAAATTCGTTTGAAACTTATGGAAAAAGTTCTTTAACACGTTTTACTAAGAACTCTTGCAAAAAAAAAAAAAAAAAAAAAAAAAAAAAAAAAAAAATCAATGTCAACATTGATATTATAATTTGGATAAATTTTATTCGTGTTCTTTTCTTAAGATATTTCGCAGATTTCTTCTTCAATTAAATTATTTTCAATTTTATATTAATATTGACAGATATTGACTTTTATAAAAGAATAACAACAACATGTGAATGTCCGCTTTCTTCAAAATAAAATATTTTGAACATTATCAAGTGCTTAATTAAAAGTTGCCGATTTATAACATAACGTTTGATAATATATAAGATTTATTATCTTATATTTTATAATATAACATCTAAAACTAGGCTTTGCGGGCGTTGATTAGATAACACGAAATCATCAAGAATGATTGCCCGTTTCTACTTCACTCGTAAAAACATGGAAATATTTGAATTTATTGTGTACCAGTACAATTTCTTAATATCTTTAATTTTCAACTTTATTAACCAAAATTAAATAGATTTATTTAAAATATTAACAGCTTTTAAGCCATATTTTTATTATTCTCGAAGCTTCACGCATTTGTAATTCATAAGTTTATAGAAACTTTTTCGTGGATTATTAAAGAGCCGGTGACATAATATGTAAAATAATAAATGTAAAATATTTTACATTTGTATCTGTTTCCATTAACTTAACCCATAATTATACAGATAAATTGTATAAATTCAATAAAATATACTTGAAATTGCTGTTTTGCTTGTCTTGAAATCTAACTGCTAACGGTATCTTTATTTTTTAATATTAATTACCGTAGAAAAATATATTTCAATGGAAATTAAATTTAAATTTAATGAAGATTTATTTTCATAATTCAAGTTAAGTATAATTGGCAAAAATGCACTTTGTTAATAATTTCATATGATTATTAATAGCTAGATATATTTATACATAATATTTATTTTATTCACTAAAGAATTTATAAATATTAATAAAAATTATAGTTGTTAGAAGCTTTCATAAGATATAAATATTTACATCAATATTAATAAAAACTTTCTATTTAATATTTCACTTATATATTTGCTAATTTAATTATAAATTAATATATATATATATATATATATATTCATTAGACTTTACAGATTACTTATTTCTTCTAAAAATATTAAAAATATATACATCTAGTAAAAAATATAATTTAAAGATATGTTTTCATCAATAAGTGCAGTTTTTATGGAAATGTTCAGACTTAATAATAGTAACATTGTGCATTTATTTTATATAAATTTTTTTTTTTTTTTTTTTTTTTTTTTACATTTATTTTTCTATAATTATTGTTATGAATTGAATATTAAAGAGAAATTATAATAGTAGCAATATCATATTTAATAGTTCGTAATTATAATATGACTACATGCATATTATATGAGACATTTGTTTCAATTTAACATAGATTAGAGTGTAATATTACAAGTTGGTTAATTTATTGAATTTAACAAATTTCCCGAATACTTTTACTGAAATATAAATAATAATGTTTCATATATTTAACGCATTGCCACAAAATTTTAGCATTATAATCTTCATTTAGTCCCAACGATAAGAATTGCAGTTGGTATTTATAATATAAGTTATTTTTATTATTATATTATATATTGACAGAAAATTAAAAATCTAATGTGCTTCTTCTTTTTTTTTTTTTTAATTGAAATTATCGTTATGAAGATGTAATTCTGTAGAAAATTCTTTACATATAATCGCTTATAAAATTAGATTAGACACTAATTTTTAGTAATATAAAAAAGGTATTTTTTAATTTTTAATTGCATTTTTTATGGAAATACGTTGTACTGTTAAAAGTTAAAAGTTAGGTTGAAATAGTTAAATACAGCAAATAAAATTGTATGTAAATTTTTAAATTTTGAATTTAAAATAAATGGGTATTAATTTAGTCTTCCCGTAATATGAGATTGTTTTTACTTTAAAAAATGAAGATAATTGAGATATTCGTTCCATATAAAGAGTCAGAAAATTTTTATATGATAATTTGTTGATCTATGTTTAAACAGTTTTTTTCTTCAAAAATTCTTGTTATTCAATTTGCAAATAAATAATAGCTATTTAAGATGACTCATTTCTATAGAAAATAAGTGTTTATTTTTTTTGTTTTTTTTTTTTTTTTTTTCGAATATAAAAGTATTATAATAATAAAATTTTAATAAAATCTTGAATGTATTTAATTTATGTACAATTCTCCTTTAAATTGTCTTGTTCAAATTATCTTAAAATACCTTAAAATATATTTTTAATCAGTTTTTAAAACTGAGAGAATACTTGAACTTTATTTTAATTAGTAGCAATACTACAAACTATACTTTAATTTATAAAAAATAAATTTTCGAGACTTTCAATGAAATAATCATTTGAAAATATTTACATTATTTTTATACAAATTTTTAGTGACGTAAATATAATATAATAACATTGTTACTGCAATATATTCAAATATTTCAAAAATATCTCACTTGAGGAATAAGTCAAATATGCCAGTAAAACGAATATTTAATTTTGTTCAGCAGTGTTTATTAAAAGAAAAAAAAACCAATGGCTTGAGCATCGAATTTCACATTTATATTTTCTTAATACGTAAAACAAACTCGAACGTGACAATTAAACTAAAATGAAATTATAAAATTACTCTAATGGAATTATGTATATTTTTTTTTTTTTTTGCATCTCATTATTATTATTATATATTGTTCATTAAAAACATTTTAAAGCTCATCTTGCATCGAATATTTTAATAGAATTTTTTTAATTTTTAATTTCAGCAAATTCAATAGAAATCTTGTAGATTGAGAATCATCTTAAGTTACAAAACGTCATTAATAATAAATTAATCGATTTACAGCTCTTGTCTGACAATCAATAACTCACTGAATGTTAATAGGAATTAACGACTGATTTCTTAACTTTATTACCATATAGCATAGTCACTTATTGTACACTGAATTTTATTATAGTTATTAGTGCTTACATCACGGTCATTATTTTTTCTTTTTTACTTTATCCTCACCTTATAGGCACCACATTAGAGAGAGAGATTCGCAGTGGCACTGAAACAACAACGACACTTGCCACCATCACGTTACCCCCCAACGTCGAGGTCAGACATTACAAAAGAACGAAAAGCTTGAATAATAGTCAAAGGCTTTTGGGAATTCTTCCGTTGATTTTATTTCTTTTTCTTGCTCTTTAATTTTATTATTTTAAGAAGTTATGTGTGTTTTACGTCTTAATTGTTGCACTAACAGATTAACAGCTATTGAAATTCGATAGTCAATTTTACATAATGAAGCACCTTTAACGCTTAACAAATCAATATTAATCTGACAAAACCAATAGATTTTTACAATGAAGCTCTTTTATGTATTACTATTAATTATATTGATGCATTTAGTTATTATTAAAGATATTTTTATAATATTTAAAGCATTGTTATAGATACCAAATACGCTAATGTATAATTGACTATGGAACATGGAAAATATGGTGGACTTGGGTACGGGATTACTGTTACGCCAAAATTCATAAATAATCATTGTGGATAAATACACACAAACAATTGCCTTTATTATTCCGACTAACGATAAATCATCTGCATCTCTATATTTTCTATTGCGTATCTATCAGGGTAGGATAAAAAATTCCGCCTCTTATGTAACTCACACTTCTATGCTTATTTTTTTCGATATCATTGCATGCTAATTTTTGCATAATTTTTCATTAAAAATACCTATGCTGGCAAAATTTCTATACTCCATCTGCTGCATTACATAATGTTCGAAACTTTTGAACGATGAGCTAAAATAAATTTAGTAATGAAACATACAGTGAAGCAGAGTATGTTGTGACATAATTTTTTTCACAGTAATGCTTTCTATTTATTTATAAAGTTATATCGTCTGTATAACAAGTGTTGCGAGTAAAAATTTGAAAACTAATGTATATTAAATTATATTTCAGATTAGCGTTGCAGATTTAGCAAATTTAGAAGTGACAACTACAACGGTCACCACTGAAAAATCAAAGGCTCCATTAGCCAGACCTGAAGAGGTTGGATCATAAAAAAATTATTTATAAGCCAATCATTAATGAAGACAATTTATCAATAGCCCTAGTTAAGAAAAGAATAAAAAGTAATGAGAAGCGAGGATAAAAAGTGGCAAATCTGTGTACAGTGGCGCATTAGGTAAAATTAATATATGAACACATACACACGCGCGCGCGCTCACCCATCTAACTAACCAGCATAAATAAATATTGATACAAACACATTCTTTCGCTCACAGACGTAGATTTTGTATTTAGATTTTTAGGCGGACTTTAAATAGACTAGTTGTAAGTAAAAATAAAATAAAAAATAGAATTATCATAGTATAATTGGAGAGTATTAGGAAAAGAAATGTAAAACTGACAGAAATGAAGGAGAAAATTATTATTATACACCTATTAAAGACGATGCATACATACATTAATTATTCCGTGCATTCATCTATATCTTAGGTGTAAAATAACTAATTCTTTATTTCTACATAATTGCATAGATTTTTAAATAATCAATGCTATTCCTTAATTTTACACGTTTGTTTGTAGTGGACTACTAATATTTTTTTATATACACGTGCAAGTTGTGCACCTCATTTTATGTTTATTTTTAGCAAGAGTAAAATAAATTTCTCGAAATAATTGTGAATTCATGGAAAAGTTGCTTGTTATTAACTTTATTATGGAATACTTTATTATAAGATTTCTTATGTTTTATTTTTAATGTGAGTAATCATTATTATAAATGATAGATCGTTAACTAAGTTAAAAAAAAAAAAAAAAAAAAAAAAAAAAAAAAAAAAAAAAAAAAAAAAAGAATTTAAAGGCAAAATTTTTTTGAAAATTAACATTTGTTGATAACTTTTAAATTATTATCTGTGTAATACGTTTTAAAATATAAGAAATACAAATATCTACTTATTTGTTTTATTAGTCGATAACAAAGAACTTTTTTAAATATTATTATTGGCATTGGTTAAAAATCTTTTTATTATATTTTATTACACTAAATCAATCTTCTCTAATCTCTATTTTAGCCTTATTTATATTGTATTCGATTATTTCTTTTAACTAAACATAATGTGCGAAAATGTTGATTGAATATCATGTGAAAAACATTATCGAAGATTTTAACGACTGCAAAATCTTAATATATGTAAGACAGGATTATTTAAATGAATTTAATTTTTCGTGTTCCCATCAAATTTGACCATTTTATACTTAATATGAAAAATGTAAAGCTAAATAATCGTTAAGTGTACACTACATGAAATCGAAAGTATAAATCGACGTATTTATTATAAAATACGAAATGCAGAATAGATTTTAAGATTCTAAATTTTTAAGACTCTTATTGCAAAAATATTATTATATGTAATTTGATGTGGATTCTTTTATTAACATACTCCGACTCAATTTGAGAATTTTAAATTAAATGTATTACTATGATAAATGTTACATAAATAATATATAAATTTTACAATTGAAATTCTTATTTAATCCTATATAAATATATATAATCAATGCATTATTATGAATAATCCATATGCAATTATATATAATTATTTTTTGCTTGAGTATTATATACGCTGTACAAAGTACAAGAATACATCACAAATCGTGGAAGTTACATAGCAGCCATATTGTGTATTACGGAAACATTTATAAAGTAAAATAGATAGATACAAATTAAAAAAAAAAAAAAAAAAAAAAAAAAAAAATTAAAAAGAAAAAAAAAAAGTAATTGATAACGCGAATGCGACTTAAAGCAAGCCTTCCACAGTATTTTAAGCTTAAATAATTAATAAATAAAGCATTTTACTGGCTATTTTATCACTGAAGGTTGAAATTTAATATTATGGAATTGGAAAGTCACATAGTTACTTAAGCGAAATAAATTATTTTGAAATTTTGCGAAAACGATTCATTATCGCCTAGCTATAATATTTTTATGGAAATAAATTATATATAAAAGAAAATAATAATAATAATAATAATAATAATAATAATAATAATAATAATAATAATAATTAAAAAAATCAAGTATCTATTTTAGTACTGTCGAAATAACTTTCTACAACTTCACATTCACAGAATCTTTATGGATCTTTTAACTTTTAAAAATCTGTCGTGCATTATGTATAAGAAAATCTTTTTAATAAATATTATCATAAAGTTCAGATTTATAAAAATTATAAGACCTCAAAGATTGTTCATATCATGCAATAAATATCACTGAGTGGTTTTGCAAAATACATTGTTAATCTTATTCAAAGCGTCGAAATAAATAAAAGTGTACATTCAATGAGCGATGAATATGATTTTTCGAAATATCAATAAAGTTGGTAATATATACAAATGGTAATGATAAAAATTAAGAAAAATGTGACGTAAACAGTATACACGCGATGCAGATATATTTTTATTAATGTTACTTAGTCGTTAAATCATCTGAGATTGCTTTTTTCTATATAAATCACATTTATTCCTTATGAAATGAATTTATTAAGTAACATTTTGCATTTAAATCGAATTAATTCATCTCTCGTTTTATTAATTTTAAAAGCAAGCGCTGTTTACCCTATTTTATTCTCGTATTTAACATATGTTTTTTTATAATAATATTATTGCTATTATAATAATAATTAATATAATTATTATCCGTTAAATATCTTGGTGGAGGACCATTTGTTGTGTATTACTTTTTATTCGAATGCGTATCTCTGTTAATCTATTATGCACTAATTTGTGTATTACACATATATGTATTGAATTTTATCTTTACATAACGTACTGAATGATCTTGAAAGCATGTACAAGTTGATTATTTAACGACTAATGAAATTCGCTAAATAATTTCTTCTTCTTATTATTATTATTAATAAGAAATTAATCGGTTCATTTGTCATTAGTTGTTATATTAAATTTTAAACAAATCGGCAAATTTGATCGATCTATGAGATTGATTTTGTCCGATAAATGAGAATTAATACAGATGAAAATATACGAGTAAAATCAAGTTTCATTTAACTTTTATTGTGCATTATCAAACTACTTTACTAGAGTATAATAATTGATTAGAATAAATTAATGAATATATAACATTAATGATTAAATTAATTTTATTTTAACAAATATTTACGTTAAAAAAATCAATCGAGTTAAATTTCTTACAAGAAACGTAAATATGCATTTATTTAAAACGTTACTCAACTTATAAGTGAAAGTTAATTATCACCAATGTAATTTCATTTCTTCATTATTTTTTTTTTTTTTTTTTTTTTTAAGAATTTTAATGTTTTAGTTCATTTATAAGAAATTGTTGTTTATACGTGTACTTTTATTTAAAAAATTGAACTATTCATTAATCAACTTTTATATTCTGTAAAAGATTCAATTCAGTAAAACGTTCTATTCTTTCAGTCTAATTTCCCTCTTTTTTTATCTTTCGTGTTTTTTTTTTCTTTGTTGGAACGTTTATTGCAATATACAATGCACGAGATCATACTTCCAGAACTGGCGATATCAAAAAATACGTTTTGAATAGACATTTTCGAGCCGTTCTTTTTTATATTGTATAAAATATTAGAATTAAGATGGTTTTACACGAATACTCTATATTTGACTTGAAAAGAATTTTTTGTAATACTTGATATTGATATTTTCTTGTAAACATTCTCTTTATTTCTTTGCTTTCTAATATTATTATTCGTGTTAAACTATTAAACAAAATGTGTCTATAACTTTGTTCGCTTCCAAAAGTGTCTCCTGCAACGCGTTGCGTCAACGAATAAAGCATGCATTAAAAATGTACGAATACGTGTGTGTGTATTGTATATGTTAATCATTTTAAAAAGTATACATAAACATATATATATATATATATATATATATATATATATATATATATGTATATATATGTATACATATATATAAAATACATATACATATACATATATATATATATATATATATATATATATATATATATATATAAAATGATTAACACGGGGCCTTTGTAGATAATTTTTAATCACTTTAAGTTTTATCATAAATATTAGATGTGAATTTGTCAAAAAAAAAAAACAGCAGATACTGCATATTGGCATGCATATGCATTTATTGTATTGATAAATCGATAAACACCTTTTATAATACTTTATTGATAAATTTTAGACTTTATAAGTACGAAATAATAAAATTTTAGGCTAAATTAATAATTTAGAATTTCATTCATGACAAATTGTTTTGTACTTCAATAGATATTTCAATAAGAAAAATTACCTTTAATTTGAAATATACATTTCATTTGTGAATAATAATAATCAAAAACAGCGAACGATCTTTTTTGTTAATTTTTTAAAGACATTTGTACATGACACTGCCTTAAAAATGAAATTCTTAACGATTGATATATGAAATATTTACTGTAACATCACTTATTCTACATGATTAAACTTCTAAAAATAATAACAATGTATTATTTACCTATTTTTCATTTATTTAAAACAAAATTTATTTTATTTAATACCGAGTGAAATGATTTTATTAAAGTTGTAATTAATAGGCAAAGTAATTGATATATTGTCCTGAGAATGCTAATGTTAAATATAATTATGAAGATATGTAAAATGTAAAATTAACTCATATACATTTCATTGAATCAAAAGAAATTAAAAATACCGTTTGCTAATTTGAAAGTTATTACTTTATAATATTATTACTACAACAGATTTTTAGAAAATCCATGCAGTAACAATGCATGATCGATCATTCAGTCTGTAAATTCAGCTTTTAAAAACTTTGTACATTGTACAGATGATATTTTTATAAAAGAGCTAATTACTAAATAAACTGAAACTATCTATATTAACCTGGGTACTTTTTAAATGAAGCCATTCCTTAATCTCGGTTAGTTTAATGAGTCAACAAATATTTTGTATGATTGGTTTTAATCACTTTATCTAATAACTTATTGAATTTAATGCTAAATGGGCATTACGTTGATTTTCATTTACTTGATCAACAATTTTTTACAATCTCAATTGAACGTAATAATTGATTTGCATGATTTGTATGCAAA